TTTCCAAGACTATTTTGCTTTCTTTGGACTCAAAATGCTCTCTTTGTTTTCCAAACCACTTTTTGGGTGAGGACTAGGCTACTCGTCCACATTCCTACTACCTGAAGAATCAAGAGCCCAAGCATACATTCTGAATAACCTAGGGCCACTCCATACTCTCGTCTAAACAGTCTGTGCTTGCTGGACAGCCAGGCACCTGCCCAGATCCCTGTGGACCATCCCACAGAGACTGCTGTGCTCCTATTCCATGTCCTCTTCCTCAGTGACCTGTTTTAATGTTTCCTCAAAATTGACATTTTGAGTCTAGCATGTCACACATAATAAAGTCACCTTTATTTACATATTTTTTCTGAAAAAAATATTAAATTTTATTATTGGATCTAAAGGTTTTTAATCCTGTATTCTTTTCATATGATTTAATTGTCAACTTTCATGTTAGAATTGTTCTTTTCTTCTTCAAAAAAGAACTGAGATTTTGCATGAATATGCCCTTCTTTATCTTTTTTAAACTTGTTGGACAGTTTCAAATATTTTCAATATGGATTGTTATGTTTATGTCCATAAACGGCTGGTTTATAATTTCTGATAATTTTACATTTAGGCTTGTCTTGTCCTATTAATTTATTTTGCTATGTATGAATTTGTCACAAACACCCATATGAAAGTCAGAAACATATGGTTAGAAATCAGTGTTGTTCTTCAAAGATTTGGAATCAAGGGAGAAACTCAAGTCATCATGTCGGGTGGTCGGCTCCGTGAGGCTCTGTAGAACATGTTGGAAACTGTCTCTTGCCTGTTCCGTTATTGAGTAGTTGGACAGGTATTAGTGCTGCCTCTCTTTAAAATCAGGTAGAATATCCATGAGTGCATTCATACAAGTCTTCTGCTTTCTTGACATTTCCCCATTGACAGTCTTTTATACAGTATATTTTTGATCACTTTCACCCTTACCCAACTCCTTGCAGAGCCTTTAACCTGCCTTGCCTTATAGTATTCTGGCTTTCTTACTGCAAGAAAACAAGTCAAAAGAAAATCAAATTT